TCTCTCTCTCTCTCTCTCTCTCTCTCTCTCTCTCTCTCTCTCTCTCTCGCTCTCACACACACATACACACACATACACACACACTTTTAAATATTTTAAAAATGTGTTTTCTCCAGTTTTATTTTTTAATGATTTATTTATTTTTATTTTATGTATATTAGTGTTTTGTCTGCTTGTATGTGTGTGCAAGGGTGCTAGATTCCCCTGGAACTGGAATTGTGAGCTTCCATGTGGGTGCCTGGAATTGAACCTGGGTCTTTCAGAAGGACAGCCAGCACTCTTAAACACTGAGCCATCTCTCCAGCCCACTTTTAAATATCTTTAAAGGTCTTCCATGTACCCATAATTTTATCTCAATAACAACAAACTGTTGATCAATCGTTTTATTTATATGTCTCAGTTCAATCCAGTTATTTTAAAGTAAATTCTAGATATATAATTCTGTTTATGAGTATATTAATATGCATGATGAACAAAAAAGATCTCAACTTTAATGATATTTTCATATCAAACAATAATTCTCAAATATTAGACATTCGTTTAAAATTAATTTCAATGAAATTGGAAGAATTTTATTCTGCTGAGGCAGTAGCACCTGGCAATATCAATACAACTTCTTCTTCTTCTTTTTTTTTTTTTTTTTTTGGTTTTTCGAGACAGGGTTTATCTGTGTAGCCCTGGCTGTCCTGGAACTCACTCTGTAGACCAGGCTAGCCTTGAAGTCAATACAACTTCTAAATCAATACTTTTTTTTTTCTTGGTTTTTCGAGACAGGATTTATCTGTATAGCCTGGGCTGTCCTGGAACTCACTCTGTAGACCAGGCTGGCCTTGAACTCAGAAATCTGCCTGCCTCTGCCTCTCGAGTGCTGGGATTAAAGACGTGCGCCACCACCGCCTGGCCCTAAATCAATACTTATACTTGAAAATGAACCATAGATTTTACATATAATGTTCACACGTCTTAACAAAGTTGAAATAGTAATGATTATCATAGAAAATATTATGAACATTTATCATATGAATTCTATTACTTTCATTGATATTTGTGCCAGCCCCTAAAGCAATATCTATGCATGAAATATTGAATGTTTTTCAAGTTTTTGATGATAGTATATCATAATGAAAACAAAAAGAACAATATATGGTTCAGCTCATTCAGATCTCATATGAAGGAGCCAGACTGTTGCCTGAAATGAATAGAAAATAGGAATATTTACATATAGATGCAGATTTGCATATAAACTTCTTTTTTTTTTTTTTTTTGGTTGTTCGAGACAGTGTTTCTCTGTGTAGCCCTGGCTGTCCTGGAACTCACTCTGTAGACCAGGCTGGCCTCAAACTCAGAAATCCACCTGTCTCTGCCTCCCAAGAGCTGGGATTAAAGGCGTGCGCCACCACTGCCTGGCTATGAACTTCTTTTTAATCATGCTATTTTTTTGTCTCCCTGGTCCAATTTTCTCTCACTAGAATCTTATTTTTGTTGCATCTTCCATGGTTGTGTTTTTCTATAAGAGAAGTGTTTTAAAATTTCAGACATACTCCAAATTATTTAAAGAGTAAACTAGTCAAACTTGTATGTGTGTGTTTTACAAGGTTTGTTGTTTTCGTATGAGAGGCTGGCTTGGAGATCTGCTTTAGCCTCTGGCCAGCTGTGAGCACGG